CTCTCCTTTGGCGGATAGAGATAAAGTCGCCCTCTACGACCCTCCCCCTCCTCCTCCTCTTCGTTTTATCCGGCGACTTCCGGATATATACGCCCGACAAACTATCCCTGGATCTCGAGTCGTGTCTCTCTCTCTCTCTCTCTCTCTCTCTCCCTCTACCCGGACCCAGTTCAAATAGAATTGAATCCGTCTGGAAAAACGAAACCGTAAATATTTACTGACCTCCTTTTAGTGGACACACTAAAAAAGGGAGGGAGAGAGAGGGAACGTGGCCAAGGAGAGGGTAGAAGTCATTACTTCTGGCACGCGATAACGCGACAGGATAAACGTTACAAGCCGTAAAAACATCTCTGGCCAAGGCTCCCCCTTGCACGATTTAATCCTCTCGTGGTATTATAAACCTGCTCGAGTTTCGCAATGTTGAGCTCCAATATCGGTAAAAATCTGTTCGGTGTGTAGAAGCATCTTTCGAAACATCTTCGTATTTCCTTTTTTAAATTAATCGGATGGAAATGGAATAGTAGAAGGAAAGAGTAGTTCACTTATTTTCTTGGGTTTGGCTGGTGATAACGGAAGATGAGGTAATGTAATTGGAAATTTGGTGTTTTGGAAAGGTTCGAAAGATTGGAACGAAAGAAGAGAAAACGGTGTGTTATTGATTTTATTAATAACGTTATTTATACACATACACTCATTCGAGACTCGGTGCGCGATTTCGCTTCGTATTTTCCTCGAACAGGCGATAACGCATCCCTCCCCCGCCCCCGCAACGATTTCATCCCTGTATATTCCTGTCCAGGCCAGAAGATATACGACGAAACTTATACGCAGTTGTAACGGTTTCGCGCGTATCTCGATGGTATTTTTGATAAAAAAATTTCAACCAACCAACGCTTTGCTCCAACCACTTTGCCCTCGGATGAGGGTATCCTCGAATTTTTGTTCCCAAAGAAAAAAAAAGAGGGGGGGGGAAATTCCACGCGTATTTCAGAAAGTGGGCGCCCTCCTCGAGTCTGGAATCACGATTTATATTTTACTAAAACTGTCGAACGAACGAACGAACGAACGAACGAACACGCGTACGTATAAAAATAGCGTGATTTTTATTTTTCAAAGAAAAAAAAAAAAAAAAAACAGGCCGATGTGAGAATGCACTTTGCTTTAAATATCGATACGCTCGTTAATCAAGTTTTTCTGGTTCCCGGGGGTTATTTCGCTGAAAGAGAGGAGAGGGAAGGGAAGTTTAAATTACACGCAAAACTAATTACCGGACGAGGATAAAACAAAATACACCGTAAAGTGGCCCTTTCACCGTTCCACAATGATTGTTGCCCTCCTCCTCCGCAAATATAAACGCGAAATGGCTTATATTCGAATTTTTTTTTTATTCGAAACGACGTTATCTTTCGAACGCGGAGAGTTTCGATCCGAAAACGGCGGATTTCCACGTTCTTTCATCGGCGTTTCGATTGGTGAGAAACCGTTTGTAGCCGATAGAAGGGAAAAAAGCGGAGCGGATCGAAAGAGAAAGGGTGAGAGGGGAGGAGGGAGAGAAGGGAGAGAAGGGGATGGTGGACCGTTTGGGGACGGGCAGAAGGAATAACATAAAAATGTTGGCGGCACTCCAAAGAGCTTGCCAACTCTCAAACGACTACTAAATCAAAATACCAACGCTGCATACACGGGGGCATACCAAGCCGAGTTAAATTTTATTCGAAATCCTTTTATCGCAAAACCTATTTCCCCGGCAAAAATGTAAATCTTGCTTACCTCCACTCCTTTCTTTTTAAATCGGCTATCCCCCCCCCTCCCCGCGTGTATAACAGCTCGAAACTCGTCGCACCCTTCCTCTCCCCCTCCAACTCCCTCGGTTACTTACCCCCGGGCCGTTGCGTGATAATCTCGTGCGAAGAAACGTTGAAACTTCGAGGGGATGTTCAGAGGCGAGGAGAGGAAAGAAGAGAGAGGCTTCTTCTTTCTTTCTTTCTTTCTTTCTTTCTTTCTTTCTTTCTGAACGAGCCCTTTCCCTCCTTTTTTTTGGGTGAATCGTCCCTCGGGTGAAATTAAACGATTAAATGTGAATTTATTTGTGAATCTTAGAAGAGAGAAGAATCTTATATATATTTATTTAATTTGTAGAGAATATATAAGGATATATATATATGGAAAAAGTGATATCGTTTTTAGGGAGGGAGAAAATAATATCGAACGATATTTGAAAAATTGGTAAAAAATTCTGGAGAGAATGGCCACGATCATCAATTAATGGCGAAAAAGGAAACGGTCAAGTGGCTAATTTATTTTGTTTAATACCCGGCAAACCCTTTAATCTCGTTCTTATATAATCTCGTTCTTTGTATACGCGAAAATAGGTGGATTCGCGTCCGATCGCGAACGAAACGAGACATGGAACACCGATTCCGTGTGGTTCCAGGAGGCCAACCATTTCGTAGAATTTCGGTTAAATATCTACGCGCGTAGAATTTTCTGATTAATTCTCCGAGCGGAATTGGAAATGTCAAAAGTTTCTTCCTCCGTCCAGCTAAATGATTTTTCCAGAACCGCGAGAAAGTTGCTCGTGTTGATAGTTTGAGGGGAGGGGAAAAAAATCTATAATTTAATTTGAAATTCGTGAAATGTAAATGAAGGTATTTTTTATCGACTCGTGTCGAATTTCCCCAAAATTTTTCTCAATTTTTCTCCAATTCTCCTTCCAAAAAAGCCAGATATTTTTCCAAGATTTTCCAAAAATTCCTCTTTCTCTCTTCCTCGAAAAATAGAAAAGTGATATTCTCCGTACAATTTTTCCAAAAATTTCAAAAATTAAAAACACACCAATTTTCTTTTTCCTGATGAAAAATTACGCGATAATTGTTACCTGCAGAAGGAAGGAAGAGAGACGAGGTACTAGGAATAAATAAAATATCAAAAAAGAAAGAAAGAAAGAGAGAATGGGCGCATAAATAAAGAAAACTTTTGAATTATTTCGTTATCTATATATATATATATATATAAGCGGTTGGCTTGCGCCTCTTCACCATGGCTCGCGCACCCTATTCATCCTTTGGCCGTAGATCAACTTTTCTTCTCGCGTTTACGCAGCGCGAGCATACGTGTACACCCCCTCCCCCTCCCTTCCCCGATCTAAAAAAGCGTAATGTCGAGTATCGAGGGGGGGAA